CTCAAGGCTTCCTGTCACTTCAAAACTTCAGACCGGCAAGAAGAGGAAGTCTTTGCTGCCAATACTCTTGGGGACAGGGCGGACGTCACATGGAACTCTTACCTCCGAGATTTCTGAATATTCAGGTTTGCATTGTCTTGATTAGGAAGTGAGAAAAGAGAAAAGACCATGTATAGGAGATGTCCATGAAGACGATCATATTTATTCATTTTGTAATTGCTGTTATAACTCGCATCGATCCCGCTAGTAACCAGGCATTGGTCCAAGCACGTGACACTCCCAACAACCCTCTGAGGTAGAGATTATGAACACTTTAGGAAGCTGAGGGAAAAGGAAGCACGAAGGGGGTGGGTGACATTATGGACCTCATCATGACACCCCCAAGAACACGCAGAAGCCCTAAGCCCCAGTGTTTATATTTGGAGACAGGACTTTTAAGGACATCATTAAGGTTGAATGAGGTCATAAGAGCGGGGCCCTAATCTAACAGGACTGGTGTCCTTATAAGGAGAGGAAGTGCCACCACGTGGACGTGGAGAAAAAGCCACATGAGGACACAGCCAGGCAACCGTGTGCAAACCAGAGAGAGAGTCCTCAACACCAGCAGCCCCTTGCTCATGGGCTTCTAGCCTCCAGAACTGGGAAAAAATAAATTTCTGTTGCTTACCACCCCCCAACCCAGGCTGTGGTGTTCTTTTCCAACAGCCCTTGCAGACTGATACAAGGTCCTTTGCCCAAGATCTTTTGTCTGGCAAAAGGAAGAACTGGCATTTTAATCCAGGCCATTTAATTTTTTTTTTAGATTTTATTTATATATCTATTTTAGAGAGAGAGAAAGCCTGCACCTGCATGTGAGTGGGTGGGTTAAAGCAGAGGGAGAGGGAATGTGAAGCAGATTCTGCGCTGAGCGTGGAACCCAACGTGGGGCTCAACCCCACAACCGTGAGATCATGACCTGACCCTAAACAAAGAATTAGACACTCAATGGACTGAGCCCCCCAGGTGCCCCCCAGGTCACTTTAATCCATGGATGTCTCACAGCGCCACTTGTCCTGGTGGAGTGAGGAGAGCCCTCCTGGGGAACAGGAGAATAGTCACAGGGTCCTCACCAATACGCACAGGCACTTACTCTGCACCTGCCCTCTGCACTAAGCACCTTGCGTGGATTTTCTGTTTAACACTAACAGCAATCCCAGGCAGCTAGTGCCATGATCGTCCCCATTTCTTAAAGCCATAAGAGGATTCCAGTGGGGGCAAACGCACTCCAGAGCCAACATGGAACATTACACTGTTCTGTAACTAACTGCAACTACAAGAGATCATTCTGTTTGGGTCAACTCCACCACTTGGCCAAAAACCGTTCAACTCCGTCCTGCAAGTGAGATAACATAGCTGAGTCAAGTAATAATGAAGCCCACACTGAGAAGGCCATTGAAATAAATGAGCCAAAGAGGAAGGTGTTTCCAGTAAGCCATCACAGCGTTGGTAGAGAAAGGGCCAAGTGGGAAGGTGGCCCTGCCCTAATGGGCAGGGGCGGGGAGAAAGAGGAACTCTGTTAGAAGGACATGACCCAGCCAGGACTATTGGAATGGGATGATGAACAGGGCAACTCTTCCTGCTCCCTTTGAATATACAATGGCTAACAGGGACTCAAGAGCAATCAGGTTGGGATCCAAGGGCAGGGGATTCCTAATATTGTTTCTGTTTCCCACCACATCCATCTAGAGAGAAAGTCATCCCCATTTCCATTTCCACCACTGTCCTCTATGTAGGCCCCCCTGAGAGACCTTATTTCCTTGTTCAAATGCTCAATTTCGTCAGTCACATGGATGGAAGGGCTGGTTTAAAGCATCTCCTTGCTGCTCGCATAGCATTTCCCAAAGAGCAAGATGTGTCCCACAGGTGGGCACAGGTGAGAGGATTCTTTTGCAACCTGGCGACTGGCAAGTGGAAAGCCTCAGCACAGTGCTAATGTGCTTTCACAGCAGCTCTCGTGTTTGCTCACATTTGAACAGACAAGACCAGACTTCAGATCCGGAGCCTCCAGTGGGCAGCCATGTTTCTGCCTTTTGCAAACTCCAAATGACACATTTAGATCACACAATTCACTGATGCTCTGCTCATGTTTTTGAATTCTTTTTTATTCTCTTACTGCATTTTAGATGGTTCCTGTTGCTTTGTCTTCAAGTTCACACATCTCTTCTCTTCTGCGATGTCTCATCCGCGGTTAAACCCACCTGGTGTATTTTTCACCTCGGATGTGTAGTTTTCATGTTGAGAAATTCAGTATGGGTCTTTTTTATTATCTGTCTTCATGTCTCTACCTTTTTGATCATGTGCAGAACAGTTACAGTAACTGTTTTGTCTCCTAATCCAAATGTCTATATCATCTCACACATTGGGTCCAATTTTCCAGTTTCTCTGATTAGATGCTAAACATTGTGAATTTGGTGTTTTTGGGTCCTGGAGGTTTCTATGTTTTTTAAAACCAATTATTCTTGATCATTCTGGAATGCATTCAAATTACTTGGAAAGAGTTTGATTCTGTCATATCTTAATTTTAAGTTTTTAGACAAGACCCAAGCAGCATTTGGTCTACAGCTCATTTTCTCCACTACAGAGGAAAACCTCCTCAGTATTCTACCCCATGAATTATGAACTTTTCCATTCCAGCTGGTGGATAACCGCTATTCCTGGCCACATGTGAGTGCCAGGTCCTATTCCCCCCACTCCATTTGGGGAGTTCTTTCCTCCCCCATCATTTCACACACATGCTGATCTTATTCTGGCTCAAGCTGAGGGGGGGGGGGGGGGCTCTGTGCATTTGCAGAGTTCTCTGTGGGCGGCTTTCCAGAAAGGCAATGTGAGCCCTTGCCACCGTGGTCTCCCCAGGCTTCCAGCTCTATCTCAACTAAGGGAGCCGCTGGGCTCCACCTGGCTTCTCCCTCTGCACACCACAGCCTGGAAGTTCTTTAAAGGCAGTGAGCTGGAGAGATCATAGGGCTATCCTTGTTTGTTTCCCCTCTTAGAGTCCACTGGCCTTCCTTGTCTGACTTCTACTATCTTGAAAACTTGTCTCATATATACTTTTTTTTTCCAGTCATTTTAAGTGGTAAGGTAAATCTTTTGTTTCTTGTCAGTCCATCTTGGTTGGAAATAGAAGTCCCCTGTTCACTCCTTCAACTGAATTTTATAATTTTCTTCACGTAGGTCTTATGAAAACCTTCCAATTAAATTTGTGTCTAAATAGCTAATTTTTATTGTAACTATTTCCTCTCATCTCCATTCCTACATACTTATTTCTAGACTGGATAAGTTGTTTCTGTAATGTTTACACACGCATATTGACTTTTGTATATGTAATATTTATCAACAGACATCCTGAAATTGAACTGTGCATTGGTCATAAATTTACTCAGTCGCAAGAAACAGGAAGAGACTCCTGGAGGTAGTGTATCTACTTGGCAATGTCAACAGGGACTCAAGCTCTGCTCCACACTCGGCACACTGACCTTTGTCCTCATACTTGTTACCTCACAGCACAACATGGCTGCTACAACCCCAGGCCTCAGGTCTGTGATCCAAGCAGGAAGGAAGGGGGAAGCTGGGAGTAGCAATTCCCCTACCAAGAAAGCAGAGAGTTTCTCAAAATAACTTAGTTGGTGTTCTATTGGCCAGAACTCTAACTAATCTGACCACATATATCAAGTCAATCTGGAGAAGCAAATGTTTAGCTGGAAATTTTACCACAAACTCACAAAAAAATCAAGGTTCTGGTGGGTAATGAAAAACTGATAATTGCTATTGGACATGTAACTAACAGGTCTATAAGCTACTCTTGCATTCTTAGAATACACCTTGCTGGCTTATAGTGGACTATGCTTTTAAATACATCTGACATTTTGACTCTTTTTTAAAAAGCTATTGCAACATTCAGGATCAAAGACTTGAACTTAGTGTAACGGAAAATGAAACATACTCAATGTATGTTGAAAGGCAGCATCAAGGCCCTGTAATCAGACCTACCTGCACACAGAAATGCTAGAAGCAGAAACAAAATGAGCATAGAAAGTGCTACATAAATTCTAAAAGGGAATAATCACCAGTGGTATTTAACATTAAACTGTCTTTAAACACAAACGCTCATACATTTGTGAGATTTTTTTCTCTTTCAGATTTGGAAATGTCCTCATTTTAAACAACACATAGAAAAAATTATACCAATCTTTCTCTCTGGACTTTTTTATTAAAATATCGTTGTATAATAGTATAGTGGTCTTTATCTTTCAGTTACTGATAGGCAAAATCATACATTTAATATTTGCTTCAAAATAACATGGGACTCATGGAGGGGAAAGGAGATAGAAGTGAAGATGAAACAAGACTGGCCAAGAGTTGATTACTGAAGACAGGTATTGGGTATATGGAATTCATTGTATTCAGTCTTCTTTTGACTGTTTTGACTTCCCCATAATCAAAAAAAAAATTTTTTAATGTTTATTCAATGAAAGCACATAATCTTGCATATATATACAAATGTATAAATATATAAATTCTTGTTTTAAATGCTAGTGCTTCATAGGGATTCTATATCTGCTTTTTATAAAAGGAACTGTACATGGTCAATAATCACAGGAAGATAGTTCTGCTGCTTCCTGAACTTGGTCATAAAAGGCCATGGGTAGAGAGAGACAGCCCACCAGTAGCCACGGCCATGTTCCTCCTCATTATACTTAGCCTCCGAGTCAACCTCAGAAGTTGCTGAGTCCAGCTCTAGCTTTCATCAAATTCCTAACATTCAAAGCAATGACTGCATTTATGTATGATGCCAACAATCTTAAGCCCAAGATGCTTCAAAGATTAAATAATCATACCCATTTAAAATACACAGAAAAATAATTAGTATTCATACAAAGTAGATTTTTTACAAAGTAAGTACACTACCTCTTAAAATACATCTTATATCCAAGCACAGAAATGTGGAAATATACATGGAAGTGTACGTTTAAGAAAAAGCATTTATTTCTAAATGCTGAGTGGGAAGGCATAGTAGACGGGAGTCCTGGTTTCCTAGTAGAAATCTGAAGAGAACTTCAATTTCCCAGCATTCTCAAGCTTCTGAAAACAGTTTCTAAAGGGATTAGACTGCTGTTCCTCTTTCCAAATTCTGTTTAATTTCAGCTGTATATTTCCCATAGAACCTTTCTGCCTTCTTGTTGAATTTGGCATTCCTTTCATTAATGTAGTCGATGTCTGCATCATCATTATAAGGACGTCTCCGGCTATACTTGTCTCGTTTTTCAATTCTGGAGAAAGTGAAAAAAAAAAAATTTTTGTTTTTAAAGGCAATTCTGGGGACACCTGGGTGGCTCAGTCGGTTAAGTGTCCGCCTTCAGCTCAGGTCAAGATCCCATAGTCTTGGTATCAAGCCCTGCACTGGGTTCCCTGCTCAGCAGGAAGCCTGCTTCTCCCTCTGCCCCTGCCCTTCCTCACAGCTTGTTCATTCTCTCTCTCTCTCAAATAAATAAATAAAATCTTAAAAAAAAAAAAAAAGGCAATTTTGATTTTTGTAGTCTTAACAAAACATGGCCAAATAGTTAAGAACAGAATTAGCGCACATAGAATAGCACATGTGAGGGGTGGGGGCTAGTTTTCATCAAGATCAAACTGTAGGGGCACCTGGGTGGCTCAGTGGGTTAAAGCCTCTGCCTTTAACCCACTCGGGCTCGGGTCATGATCCCAGGGTCCTGGGATCAAGCCCTGCATCGGGCTCTCTGCTCAGCAGGGAGCCTGCTTCCCTTCCTCTCTCTCGGCCTGCCTCTCTGCCTACTTGTGATCTCTGTCAAATAAATAAATAAAATCTTTAAAAAAAAAAAATTTTTTTAAATCAAACTGAAATTGCTAATTGATAACACAACCCTGGGTACAAACCCTGAAATTCAATAAATACAAACTCATCCTTGGAATGCTTCTAAAAAGAGCAATGATACACTGTTGCCAATGGACACAAGAAGTTCTACCCAGAAGAAAATTACAGTACTTACATTAAGTAACAGCCACAGCTAATATGAATAGAAGACACATTATATACCAGATAGTATTTTTAATAGTCATATGTACTAACTTCTAAAATATAATTCTGCTCTAATATTCATCCATATCAGTATTAAGAAACACACAATATAACAAGGGTACATTTACTGGAACATTCATACTTCTTCAAATCAAATAATGGAATAGTTATGAAGGTCAAAGCCCTTTAAGAATCATTTTCTTTGGACCTTCCCCTGCTTCAATTATGACAACTCCATTTCAGCGATATTTTGCGCCTGCTCCCAGATCATATGGATTCGACTAGCACATGCCATCCGTACCCAAAACCACTACAGACACTGAGTCAGAAATAAGCAGGAACAGTATCCGCTCTTTCAATTCACTCTAAACACTCTAGGTCCATTTTGTCGTTAAAACATTTGAAAGTTCAGGCTGCTGAACTGAGTACTCACTGTTTTTCCAGATCCATGACCATCCTATCAACCTCTTCTGTGGAAGGCACGTGTGTTCCATGAAGAAGGCTGTTGGATGTTGGGAAAAACTCTTCTCCACTGAAAAGAGAGCAAAACGGACTTAAAGTAACACTAGACAGTTCGACATCTGCAAATTTCAAACCAAACTACCACTCCTGGTGAGCAATAAAACACACACATTACACATTACATTATATATATTAAAATACATACAATGTTGACTGTGGGATCCTACCTTATCTTTTATTTATATATATATATATAAAAGCTAAAATTGGAAGGGACCAAAGATATCCCCTACCCCAGCACATTCATTCTACAGATTTAAGAGTCAAGGGCCAAAGGTTAAGGGACATGCTTCTCAGTTCATCTTCTTTCTCTCCCCACTAATGCACAAGGGTCAGCAAACCACAACACCAGCTTTTACAAACATCTTACTGGGCCCCAGACACACCCACTCATTCATGTATCCTCCATGACTGTTTTCACATCACAGCAGCAGTGCAGAGTAGTTGTGATGGAGACCAAAGAGCCCACAAACCTAAAATCTATGCAGAAAATGTTCACCCAGGGGCACCTGCGTGGCTCAGTGGGTTAAAGCCTCTGCCTTCAGCTTGGGTCATGATCTCAGGGTCCTGGTATGGAGCCCTGCATCGAGCTCTCTGCTCAGCAGGGAGCCTGCTTCCTCCTCTCTCTCAGCCTGCCTCTCTGCTGCTTGTGATCTCTGTGTGTCAAATAAGTAAATTAAATTTTAAAGAAAAGAAAAAAAAAGAAAAGAAATTGTTCACCCATCTTGGCATTAAAGCATTCAGCCTCCTAAAACATCTGACTAACTACAATAATCTGGTTGTTAAACTCTCAACACCCAGTCTTCGAATGCCCAGCTGGAACAATAACCAGGGGTTAGCTGAACTGCTGTGGAGTGAGCAATAAACAGTACGGTCAAGACCAGAAAGCATTCATAGGCAGCTGCTGATGACCATGACCTAAGCTTTAAAGTGTGTTTGTATTTATGTATATGTGTATGTATGTATACACCACACACACACACACACACACACACACACACACACACACACACACATGCCCTTATGTCCCTTCAGAATTAACAAAGGACCTGCATTAATTAATGTCAACTTACTGTTTTTCTCTCAGTCTCTCATAGGTTTCCATGTCAGGTTTGATCTGCTTGGTCAGCCGATGATACTGGCGTAACTGGGCAGCAGCATAATCTAAAGATAAAAAGAGGGGAAAAAAAACAAAGATAAAAGGAGAATCGGAGAAGATAGATGTCCCTGTTTTGTCATTACGATCCAGAGAACATCAAAATCATTATTAGTAATATCTGCACAAGACACTAAGCATAGCTTCTACCCTGAAGATGCTGAAGATACAGGCTTTTGCTACTTTTACCACAAAGAACAAAAAAATGCAGCTGGCTGAAGTACAGCCTTTTTTACTTCTGCCCTAAGAGATGTATTTGTATATTTCTTGGGTTTAGACCTCTTGGAGAATATTCTTGGACATAACCTTCTTTTCTTTTTTGGTGGGGGGGGGGCGGTGCCCATGGATATCCTTTCTTAAAACCAGAAACACTGAAGGTAATGCTAATATACTGAGGCCATTTGGTCAAAGAAAGGCGAGCTTTACCTGAGAATCCCAGGTCAGGGTTTTTCCTCCTCTTCTTCCTCTCCCATCTTTCTGCATCTTCTGCACTGATCTCCAAAAGCTTCACTTTCTCATAGTCCTCCCCTCTTGCTGCACATTCCTAAGAGGGAAAAGAAGCTAATACCTGCAATGATGATCCAAGCAAGTATTGGATCTATTTTAACTCCAGGTTAAACAAAGATATCAGGCAATACTTTAAAACTAATGATCACTATTTGGAGGCAATCTGGGAACCTGCTACGGTGTGTAAGAGTGCGCACCTCAATTTAAAACACGTGTTCAACAGGCAGCAGGTGCCAGGTCCCCTTGGAAATGTTTTACATGCACTGACTCGTTTAATTTGTCAGAACTCAAATCATTATTATAGTCCCCATTTTACAAATGAGAAAAGAGAGGCACAGAAAGGTGAAATAACTCCCCCAAAGTGCTGCTGCTAGTAAACAGGAGGGCTACCACGTGGACTCCGGAAGTCTGCTCCACAGCCAGTGTACAAAACCAGCTATTACGGTCTCAGTACAACAGAATGACTGAATAAACCACTTATGAAGCCAGCAGAGTAGATCCTAACCTTCTTCTTTTCTTCTTCCTGTAGCTCCCATTCTAGACGAGCTTTTCTGGCTTCCCAGTTAGCAGGTAACTTAAGTCTTTTATCTTCTTCAACAACTTCCTGGTGATTTAATTTACGAGCTTCATTCTAAATCCATAACACAAAAAAAGTTTGTCAGCTGGAACATGAAAATAAATCCAAACAAAATCTTGCCCACTTTGAAAAGGGTCAGGTAAGACACATTAACAAGGGGACTCCGTTTTATCCTAAAAGCAACAGATAACCATCAAAGGATTTTAAGCAAGGGAATGGCCTAGTTAGGTTTTTTTTTAATTAAGGATTTATTTATTTGAGAGAGAGACAGCAAACAAGTGTGTGCATGCACAAGCAAGAGAGGGAGAGAGAATCTCAAGCAGACTCTGCAGAGCACAGAGCCGGATGCAGGGCTTGATCTCAGTATCCCGAGATCACAACCTGAGCTGAAACCAAGAGTTGGACGCTTAACCGACTGGGCCATCCAGGTACCCCTCAATTCTCTTTTAATCCTAATTCAAGCAAAAAACTTCAATTTGGGGTCGGAGGCTTTAACACTAATCTTAGTATCTCTAATCCTTTTCAAATCCCTTCTCCTTTTTACATATTTTAACAGTTTACTTTATGGCAAAAGAAAGGTATTTTCCATTTGACTTACTCTATGAAGAGTATGATTTAAAATGAATTTAAGTGGGGTGCCTGGGTGGCTCAGTCGCTTCAGCATCTGCCTTCAGCTCAGGTCATGATCTCAGAGTCCTGAGATGGAGCCCCACATCAGTCTCCCTGCTCAGCAGGGAGTCTGCTTCTCCCTTTCCCCCTGACCTTTCCACTCTTCTCCCCACCCGGCTGTGTTCTCTCAAATAAATCAAATCTTTTTAGAAAAAAAAAAAAAATCTTCTACTTAGGAGCAAAAGCCCTATCATAATCATCTAGTTTCCCACCAACTAGGTGAGCCACTGACACTATACACTTTTAGAGATGTGCTGATTAGGGCGCCTGGGTGCCTCAGTTGCTAGGCGGCTGCGTTCGGCTCAGGTCATGATCCCAGGGTCCTGGGATCAAGCCCCACATCTGGGATCCCTGCTCAGTGGGAATCCTGCTTCTCCCTCTCCCCCTCCCCCTGCTTGTGTTCCCTCTCTCTGTGTATCTCTGTCAAATAAATAAATAAAATCTTCTTAAAAAGAGAGATGTGCTGATTGTTTTTTAATGAACAGGCAACCAGCTCTCTTATTAACACGGACTAGTTTCTTCCAGTCTCTAGCTCCATATATCCCATAGGTAAAATGAAGAGTTTGTCAGACCCATACATCAGGGAGGCTGTTAAAAATAGAGACTCCCAAATCTAGCCCAGATTAGTTAAATCGGAAGTGGGTGAGGTTGGAGAAAGCATGTTACTTTCAAAGGTGATTTCAATCTGCTGCCAGGGTTGAGAACCACCGGGATAGATCCTTCTTCCAGTTCTGCGGGTCTGTGAGACACGGTTTTGCGGCTTCCTCGTCCCTCCACGAACGCGCACGGGTCTGCCAGAGCGACCAACCTCAGGGCCTCGGGGGCTACTCACCCGCTTCAGGTGCAGCTCCCGGAATTTGCGCAGCCTCTGTTCGCGCTTCTGGGCAGCCAGCTCCGCGGCAGCCGCCAGGGGCTGCTCCCTCTCCTCCGCGCTGTCCACCGACACCTGCGGCGAGGAGGAGTGAATGGAGGCCGGGTGGCCTGGGATGATTCCCCGCGGGTCCCGCTAGGCCGGACCGAGCCGAGGCCTCACACCCACTCCGAATTCACAGCGTCTTCGCCTCCCTGGCCCAGCACCCAGGCATCTCCCCACCTCTACCCTTTCGTGTTTTCCCGGAGCCTTCCCCCCAACAAAAAATCTCTGGGTAGAGCCGGCGGAACTTACCTTCTCGGCTAAAATCGCAGCCGCCATCACAATCTCTCTCTCTCCACTTCCGACAATAACACCTACCACTTCCGCCTGCCTGTGGCCCAACCCGCCGATACGTATTAAAAACCTCCCATAAGCCCCGCCCCTTCCTGGCGGTCTCAGGAGCTTGGGTCCAATCCTTGCTCCTTTTAACAGTGAGGAGTTTTTGATTGGGTAGGGCCTTGCGCAGCCGCAAAAGACCTCAGAGGCAAGGACGGGGAGCGGGGGGGAAGCGAAGGGGCTTGTGCTGGAATGTGCTAGGCGAAGGACGGCTGGATGGGACCAGACGAACTTGAAGCGGGGTAGAAAGTCCCAAGTCCATGTCACTTCTTGGAGCGAAGAGTGTTTGCCATCCACCTCTTGGCCTCAGTATCACCTCCTGCGAGATGGCTCTTCCTGGCCTGCCTTGTCTCATGTAGCCTCCAGTACTGTCAACAGTCACCATTTTCATTCTCTTGGGTAGTGTGAGATCCTTTCCTCGTCCGGTCGTTTTCTACCCCCCTTCCTCCGCTGCAGAACTGTGTAGTTTCCAGACAGGAGGGACTCCGTGTTGAGAGAACCTCCATTTTCCTTTTTAAAACAAATAGCTAATGAACTCTGGAACAGGGCAAAAAGGCATTTGAACTAGACCAGAAACAGCAATCGTTTTAGGAACAGCCCTTACTGTTCAACGGGGGGCTGACATCTGGCCTGTAACACTGTCAGTGTGGACTTTCCGAAGACGGAGGAATCCATGCATATCAGGGGTAGTTTCATTAGTTAACAACAGTAAGTCAGTCCATCCAAGTGTAACCCAGAGCTGTTCAGCCTGGGAGTACCAATTGACAATTTCGTTTTCTTTTTTATTCAAGTCATGTAATTGCCCCCCTTCTCCTTTCTCATAAAAGCCCCTTATTTTCCCTACACTTGTTTCCCCACACATTTTTCTGGTTGCTGCTGTAATCTATGCTGCCCAAATTGCAACTCCGAGACCCCAAATAAAGACCTTTGTTCTTTTTCAGTTTTGCCTTCTTTTCTCAGTTGACTATGGCATCAGAAGCAACACACCGCTCTGACTCCGGAGGCATGCTGGATTTGAGCAGGGTAACTTCCTGAGCATATTGTGCTCTAACCCCTCCCCAGTCCACTCCAGGTTCTGGTGGTAAAACCTCTTGGTTCCCAATCTCCCTTTTTTTTGGTTAAGGTTCAGTCCTAATTTCTTTGGGTGTCTTTCTGGTGCCAGTTTCTATCTGTGTGATTTACAGAGAGAGATGCTTTTCTCTCTGGTGATTGATTACGAAGTAGAGTGTTTGGTTTCAAAAATTGCTGCTGGAGAGCAATCCCCATCTGGAAGCCCAGCTGTATTTATGTTCAAATATTATGGGTCCATTCCTTATAAGTTTCAGTGTTGTCGGACCAATCGGACTGAAAATGACTTGTCCTTACTATGGCCACTTTGGGGATTGTTTGAGATTCCAAAATTAGTTTATTTGCAAGCACAATTGGAAAATGAAAAGAAAACCAAGCAACCAGGGGTGGGAGGTACATTTAAATTGGTCTTTGGAGCGTCCCAGAAATTAAATAATTCTAAACTTGCATCCTTATAAGAAAATAAACTTTCTAACATGAACTGTAACTGCTCTCAGAGAGTATCTAAACTATGAAAGTTTTACTACAGTCTTCTGAGCTAACTGCTGCAACTACCACTCCTCCTTCCACCTTTTCCCTCTGCTCTCCACCGATAAAATCCCAGTCGAGCTGAACTTCCATTCTATAATAACAACCCAGAGGATCCCCTAGGTTCTCCAGTCATCCAGACTCCTTCTAAAATTAAACCTAATGAAAGAGGCGCCAGGACTTTATCAGTTACTTACACTCCTTGCATGAATAAGGACTTTCCCAATGTCCTTGAAAACCCTCTAGGATTTGCTAAGGAATTTAATTTAGTTATTCAGATCTGCAAACCTGGTTATTCTGACCTTTACTGACTTATCCATATGCTTGTGAGTGAGGGTCATGCAAGGGAATGGATGGGGAAAATAGGCTGGACACAGCATTTTGATGATTTCTCTAAGCAAAAATGCTACAGGAAAAAAAATAAACACGCTTTTAAGCTAGCTGAAGAATTACATAAAACCGTTCTGGTGATTTTTCCAAAGACCACAGATCAGAGAAAAATTCAACAATGTACTCCACAGCCAGATGAACCTGGTTTTGATTATTATGATAGATTGGAAAAAACTTTTAAACAATACTCTGGTATTAACAAAATGAAACATCTTTTTTCCTTAATTGTCCTTTTTGCTTAACTCCACCTTGCTAACAGTTTAAAGGGTGAACTTGGTCCCTTTGGTAAATGACAGGAACTCAGCTGGACCACTATGGAGCCTCACGGTCTGGTTAATTTGGCTTATCAGTTATCTCACACCACAGAATGAGCAACAAAAAAGAAAGGACTCACAAGCCCAAGCTTCCCAGATCATGCATCTCCAATTCCAATTACAATTAACAACTCCGGGAAATCCCCAAAATCTTCAGGGTCTTTTTCCTGTCAAAGGTGTTTGCAATTACTGCAGAAGAACCTGGCCATTGGAAGAAGTCTTGCTGCCAACAAGACAAATTCAGCTTCAAGAGCCTCAGAACGCTTTCCCCCCTCTAAGGACACCAGCAGCTGGGGAAGATTGCTCATAGGACAGAACAGGGCAGCTCTGAGGAGGGGAGGTCCGGGTCTTCCCATGACCTCAAACTGACACCGTAGAGGAAATAAATCTTGTTACTGGGAATGAGGCGACAGGAGATCTTACAGACACGGAAGCAACACTGTCAATTTTCAACCCCACCAGCCCCTCTGTCTCCCTTCATCAGAGTACAGAAACGTTACAAATGTTGGGCTTGACTAATATCGCATGACAGTTTTTAAATCCCTGCCTATCCTTTTTTCAGCTGGGGCCTTTACAAGGCACTCATCCATTCCTTCCAATCCCTACAATTGCTGCTCACCTGTTAGGCTGTGATTTTCTGGAGATTTATCAGGCATACCTTTCCTTCTCTCAAAATGGGTAAAAGAAAATTTTTTTTTTAATGCTCTAAAAATAAATAAATAGAAAGGGAGTGCCTGGCTGGCTCAGTCAATAGAGCATCTGACTCTTGATCTCGGGGTCATGAGTTCGAGCCCCACTTTGGGTGTAGCGATTACTTTAAAAAGGTAGGGGGAATATTTTTGCAAATAGCAGAACAGCACACAGAAAAGTCTATACAAAAGAAGCCTACATCAACACTCTTCTTTCCTATAATTCAAAACCTACAGCACCCCCTCCTGGACACTCTCCCTGACACTCTTCTGTTCAAAAGTCCTAGAGACAAAAGTCCTAGAGACATCAGACGTATACACTCTGCCCCTCCTATCTAAGTGGTCAGATTGATATTAAACTACTCCCTAATATGTAACAATATTCTCTAAATGCTGAAGCCACTGAAGGGATTAAACCTGTAATCAAGGTGTGTGTGTGTGTATATGTATTGATTATTCCATGCACTCTAGTCCTTATAAAATGCCAATTTTTCCCATCTGAAAATCTCATGGCAGAGGATGGAGGTTTGTGCAGGCCCTTAGAGCAGTCAGTAATGTTGCCGTTCCACAACATCCACGCGTGCCTAATCCTCACACCTTACTTTCTGCTGTTCCTCCAGACAGCTAATCTACACAAGAGTGGATTCATGTAGTGCCCTCTTCATTATACCTGTGGACTCAGACCATTTTTATTTCCCATCACCTGGGAAGGAAAATAATATACCTAGACAGTTATATCTCAAGGTCACACTGGGAGCCCTACTTATGTACCCCAAATCTTTAAAGCAGACATAGCTGATGTAACCTCCCTTCAAAATTCTATTTATTACAATATGTGGGCCACCATCTTCTTTGCTCCCCTTCGTAAAGAGCTTGTTCAATTGACAGTATCCAACTGTTAAAACAGTTAGCTGGAAAAAGCAAAAGAGAAATCATAATTGAAAATGCCCTAAGTCAGGGGTGGGGGAGAAAAAAATAAATTAAAAAAAAATAAACTATCCTAAGTTAAATATTTGGGATATGTCATTAGTGACCAAGGATTTCTCTTCAATCCTGAAAGAATAAGAAGCATTGGCTCCGTTCCCCTTCCTCAAACCAAACAACAGTTGTGGGGATTCCAGAGACCAGCTGGATATTACCAAAACTGAATTCTTAATTTCTCTGCTAACCTTAAATTCCTTACTTAAGGCACTGTTAACCAGAACCCTTCCATTGGACTAAATGAAACCAACAGGCTTTTGAGAAGGCAAAACACCTTGCTCAGTCCATGCTCTGGGGCACCCCAAATTGTCAATTGCCCTTCGTCCTCTTTGTTCATGATCACAAAGCTAATGACAGAGACATGGAGACCAGCACGGGTCTCCAGGGTACTCCAGTACCCAGTGGCTGAAGGACTGCTACCCTGCGTGAGAACTCTAGCAGCCACTGCTGTTTTCTCAGAAGACACAAAAGAAGCCATCATGAATTTCTCTAGATCATTTAAGTTTCATGTTTGGTGAAAGCTCTCATCCGCTAGCAAATGAACTTCCTCTGACATTCTCCTGCTGTCACTTTCAAACATCTCTATCACCAAGTGTCACTCTTTAAACCCTGCTACTTTTTTTTTTTTTTTTAAGTAATCTCTACACCCAGTGTAGACTCACAAGAGATCTTGATCTGGGGGTTGTAAGTCCAAACCCCATGCTCCACTGACAGGAGCCCCAGCTGGGCATCCCTAAACCCTGCAATTTTTTTTGCCTCTTGCCCCTGATGAGATTCCTCATGACTACATTACTATGACTGATCCACTGCTGACTCGTAGACTAGGTCTTCAAAAAAAAAACCTATCATAAAGGCTGAATAATTGGGTTCAGTGGTAATTCTTATTTAAGGGATAAAATGGGAAAATACCAGCAGGATACGCTGTAAGCAGCTACAGAGATAGTTAAGGCTAATGCCCTACCTAGGCCCCTGCAGCTCTGTATGTTGAACTGTTTTCATTTCTCTTATATAGTTGACATAC